CATGATGTTCGTTATCAATGTTTATCTTCAAATAAACGAATGCATGGCATAATTCATGATTCAGCTGGTAGGCGGTCAAGCTGTCCGTGTAAAAAGGCTCTGCCTTCGGTGTTTGCGAAGCCTCCAATCCCAAATGCCGGAATAATCCGGCACATGCGTGTCAACGACGCCCCGATCCAGTCCCGGCTGACGCGTGAGAAGCGCTCCTTGGCGGGTAATTTCGTCGGCCGGTTGTACAGGTCCAGCCCGAGTAGGTGGATCGGGGTGCTGATCAGTTGAATCGACGCGGGGACTGCGAGCTGCGCTATGAGGATTTTGAGATTCTCGTTGGAGGCGACCGAATCGGGAATCGAGGCGGACACTAAGGGCGGGAGATTGAAGGAACCAAAGATGGTGAGGGCGTCGCGGATGAGAAACGCGGAGTAGGTGGCCAGGGGAAAGGAGCGGGTAACGGTGCGGATTTTGGTTTGCGAGGTGGCTGTTGATGTTGCCCCGGATTGAGGGTTTGTGGTCTTGGTTGCAGATTCGGTAGTGGTAGTGGTCGTCTTGTGGCCGAATAGTTGAGCAAACTTGACGTCTTTCCAAATGCCTACGGACGAGTTCACCACAAAGGTGGAGAGAAAGGTGGTCGTGCCTGCGATGGCATGGTCGACGGCGGGGTAGACCTTGTTAAGGATGGTTTCTGTGGCATTGGCCGTTGCGAATGTCGCAGTATATAGAGACCACACCAGCAGACTTGGTCGCGATGTGAGGAAGGTTGCAGGTTGTGTGATAGAAAGCCAGAGGTGTCGGCGAAAGGCAGGCAAGAGAGGTTGATTGTAGGATGACTTTTCCACCACCAGCCTGGTTGCTGTTAGTATCAACCAGGGATAGGAGCCAGGCTGGAGACTAACCGGTCGAGGATCATGACAGCTGGAGTCACTAATGTCGCTGAGCCTGCAGCAACTAGAACATCCGCCGCCAGGCACTCGGCGAGCCTATTGCGTTGGCCACCGAAAGACCATGAGTGGCGGGTGGGAAAGTCTTGATCCATGATGCTCAAACCACAGTCATTAGAGTCCAGCGGTTTTCAAGTTCAAAATGAGGTACAAATATGCAAAGGTGGTAAACGCTTCTGGCTATGCAATGCTACAGCGATTGTTAGTTGAGCAGTGGTAGACGCATATCGACGGACACGCGACACTCACTGTGATCAACGCTAATGAGATGAGACAAATGAATGACGGTATCAAGCAAGAGTAGCAAGAGTCAAGAACGAAGACAACCACCGATATAAGAGACAAAACCCAACCATGCCAACTGTCACCGCACAATTCATAGTACCGGATATGGATCATTTCGGCGGTTGCGGCCAATCAGACACTCACCGGGCCGGGCGGCCGGGTACAGTCGGTGGTTTTGGTGAATCTCTGCTGATAGGAAAGGGAGAAGCAATGCCGAGTCCATCGGGGGCAAGGATGAAGGACTATCATTGGAAAATTTATGCTGAAAAGTGGATCGAATTAGCAATAGTTTCGTCTGTGAGTGTACCTTAAACCTCCAGGGACCATCCAAATTGCGTGGTTCTAGAAACTGGATGATCGGCATCCGGGCTTTATCTCAGGCACGCAATCAATCCTGCCGATAATTGATTGCGGTGGGGTTGCCCTAACGAGCGTACCCTGTGCCCTATTGCCTCTTTTGGCAATGTACCCCGCCATCTCATAGCAAGCATTTATTTATTATTCTCATTTCTGGTCTCCGCTGTGTTCAACCAGCGATTGCATAAGGAGAAAGTCATTCTCGTAGTCAGACGAGGCTCAAAATGTGGCTACCTCTCCCGGCCTGGGAGTTCAAGGAAACTCGCGTGGTATTACCAGATCGAGCTCTCCTTAAGTAAATGGCGCAAACCTCCAAAAGGACGTAACCGGGATGAGAATAATAACGATGACGGGCTACTTACACTACAAGCAAAAGGTGGCTTCTTACCGCTAAAAAATAACTATGTGATAAGGAGTACCCAGAAAGCAACACGTGATTTGATGCCCCAGGCCGCAAATCTTCGAGGCCGAGATTAAACCGCGCAAGTCAGATACTCAAACGTAATATGATTCAGGGGCGAGACCACTGAACGCTATTGCGGTGAATCCGAACAGTGGGTCTCGCGACCAAAAAGATAACAGCATTCTGATAGTCATTAATTAAACAAATGGTTTCGGCAGTAGCAATCTAATCCAGCGCTTGAGTGAATGGCAGCCTAAGTTAGATCAATTATCGCGAGATCTATCAGACCAAGTTGGTATGCATCCAAACTCTAGCCTCACCAACAGAGCAATGAGCAACATCGCAAATAGGCGAAAATCCAAGCCCATATTCCCGGATAGAACTCCATTATCTGCAACAACAGGACTGCCTGTGTGGACCTCCACCCTCGGACACCATCGTGTCGATTATTGACAACTTTCGCTTTCCGTTTGTGCATACACCCTACATAATCACACAGCACGAGTTCTGCTTCTTCGCGGACGTGTAGAACATCTTGCTCTGAGCGCTCAGGCCCTCGCTCTTGGAGACCAGGTCGTCGATTTTCTCTCCTCGTTCCAGAACCTAGCAGGCGTCAGCGCTCGCCTCGCAAGTCTCGGAAAGCCAACTTACACTCTCGATAGTCTTATGTAGCACGATCTTAGTCTCATCCAACTCCTTTTGAATTTTCATGATACTGTCGACCTCCTGGGGGTTCTGGTAGGTCGTAATGTATGTTCGCAGCTGAGGGAAGGGAACGGGGTTTCGCGAGGTCGCGGCGGAGGGGTTCTGGGAGAGGAACTCATCGAGGATTTTGGAGAGGATCTGATGCGCTGCGAGGGAGGGGTACTCGTTATCGCTGATGATGACACCAGCGATGCCTTGGGTTCGGGCGTAGACGTGGAATGTAAAGTCTGCCTTGATCAATACGAGCTAACCGGCGTGGATGGATCTGTCGTACCCTGCTCTTGAATATCCTGTCTCTGGCCCTGTTTTGTCCGTTCGGCAACGGTCTTGCTGAACATGGTCATGAACTCGCTGATGCTACCCCGAGTGAAACGGGAGTAGCTGCTGAGCTCGCGCTCAGCGCAGAGCTCCACAGCGGGTTGCTGGGCGTTTTGTAAGATCTAGGTGACATATCATGTTAGTTGAGTCAGAGACTTGGCAGATAAGCGATGAGAGCACGTACTCCGATGTAAACAATCTTCATTTTGACGGACTGGGGTAGCTGTGATGACGGAATGGTGGTCCAGATCAGGTGCGGGGAAAAGGTCGGGTCGGAAAAGGGGTGCTGTTCTGCCACCGCCTGCCTAAACTTCTTACAATCGTCAACTGTTTACTGCGAGTACACTACTCCGTATACAATCAATGACCACCTAGTATTACTCGGCCGCTTACCATGTAGAGCGATGTGTGCGAGATTAACTACCGGATGCATTGATCACTGAATGGCAAATCAGAATCTTGCACATCAACAGGTAGTGTTATCCCGCACGACATGGAAACTGGACCCTCAGCAGTTGGGCGACCAACCGACAGGTCCGCTGCCGCTGCTGCGAGAGGAAGGGCTCAGGGAGGTGCAAGAGCAAGTCACACCCGGGGACTATATTAATATCGAAAGCAAGCCGACTTGCTCCCTGCCAACCAGCCAAAGAAGTTTGGGGGTATTGCAACGCAGCTAAAGGGTTTTCAGAACCTCAAACTATGGGAACTTTAAATACGGGACTGATTGAAAGTCTATCGTCTCGAATGCCTGATTAGACAGGATACCCCAGAACCTAGGCCCGATCATCCGCTTTACAAGAAGTGGAACAAGGTCCAAGAGAGTCGGCTTATGGATCTTCAGTCGAGGGCATTACCCTTGATTTCAACACCAGACAAAACCCTAGTTCCAAGCGGTCATCAAGCTTGTAGCAGGTACGGGGAATCTCTTCCGCGTACGACATGGCTACGAGTTATTTCCATGGAACGACAAGACTTTAGAACCACATAAGAGTTTGTCTCTGCGTTGAGGAGCGACGTACAACTGGCAAATGAGCTGGGATGCACCATTTCGCCCTTCTGCGCCTGTGTCTTGCTGCTGCAAAAATTAAGTAGGGATATCCCAAGCTGGGTAGCATCCGCTGAGGCATCCATGGATGTTAAATTTGGTGACGGTGGGCCGAGAACGATTACCTGGGAATGCTTTCAGGAACTATGCCATATGAGAGGTTAAGGGCTGAGGTGTATGTATGTTGGCCTACACAGCATTCAGGTATCAGCCTCTTTCCTCGGAAGATCCGTCTTAATGCTGCTGCGACCATGGACAGTAAACCTGTTTCAAGGAACGGACCGTCTGGAATGAAGCCTTTATTAGACCAAGGTACTGGCCTGATTCCCACAACTCGAGATGTACTTGGTGGACTCTATTCGCTGGAAAAATCAAGCATAAACAGACTGACCGAGGAATGTGCGCTCGACCCTAACATACCTTAAACAAGCAGTTTAAGTGGTGGGTGCTGAGCCGTTGTTGTTCCTGCGTCGAACATAATCCCTTGCTTTGCATTCTAGACATAGTCAAGTGGATTGGCCGGTCACGGAGTGTTCCTAGACATGACAGGTTTACACATTGGTGGTCAATGGCATCCCGGACCCATGGGCCCTTGCTAATAACCAAGTGACTGATATTAGTCCTACCATTTCTGGCACGTTTATCACAGAGAATGTCGATCTTGTCTAATTGAGGCTGTTAAGGCTATGGACCATTGGCAGCCTGACAGGTACCTACATTCCTGTGCTACTCGACGAAAACCGTTATCCCTTTGTCGGGAATATAATCGACTCTCAATCGCAAGGATGTTTATACACAATGCCTCAATTTGGAATGTAGAAACTCAACCCTTGATAACCGCGTTTCTCTCTTAAGACTTCACTTCCCAACGTCTCAAACACTCTCTCGTCTCTTCACTCTCTAGTCTCTTCGCTCTCTTCCATTCCCGACCTCTCCCTAACACGGCACAATGAAGTTCACTACCGGCATCACAGCCCTCCTTCTTGCCGTCTCCGCGGTAGCCATGAAAGCCGACTGGAAAAAGGCGAAGGAGAAGGAGATGGAGATGGAGAAGGAGAAGGAGAAGGGTTGGGGCGGCCACTACCCTCCGATTCCGAGCGACATGACAGTAAAAGAGGCAACAAAGAAGTGCGGTGACCAGGCCCAGCTCTCCTGCTGCAACAAGGCCATCCGCGCCGGCGACGTTACCGACATCGGGGGTACGCTGAAGAACGTTGCCGGCGGCGGATCTGGCATCGGCGGCTTGGAGATTTTCGACCAGTGCTCCAAGCTCGACCTTCAAAGTAAGTCTTCTCATTCTCAGTGCAGGATAAGGTACTAAACGAGACAGTTGCTATTATTGCGATCCCTATCCAGGATATCCTGAATGATGTATGCAAAGAGAATGTGGCCTGTTGCATGGACAGCCCCGGCAGTGCAGTAAGTCAAGTCTTGGGCCTTTTGAGTGCATGCGTAAGAGTCTAACGTGGTATAGGCCGACGATTTGCTTGGGCTCGACCTCCCCTGTATCGCACTGGGAAATCTGCTGTAGATGCGGATTGCGGACTGTATTTCTTTCATACAGATATATATTTCTCAGTCATGTATTACATTTAATATTGACTATTCTAATACCATGCGACCTGAGAAATCAGTGTCTTATACTGCTTTAACCCGGAAACTCACCCCTTGATCTGGACCTTCGGATCCCGCACCATGCAATACAGCTACACTCATCAGCATCATCCCAACACTAAATCTCAAGGTAAAAAAAGAAAATACCTTGCAAGCCTCCCACCCATCCACACATTCAATCTCCTTGACCATCCTAAATCCCAACTTCTCATAGATCCCCAGATTCGGCTCCCCCTTGGAACTCTCCAGGTAGCAGGGCACGCCCTCGGCATCCGCCCGCCCCGTCACAGCCTCCACCAGCCTCCTTCCAACCCCCATCCCCCTCATCTCCGCACTGACCGCTATCACATTACAGAAGTAGTATCCTGCCGGATGCGTCCAGAGTTCCGCGTGTGTACGCGCCTGCAGCGTCTTCCAGATCCAGTACCGGCGGACATTCAGCCCGCCCCGGCCGCAGAAGCGGATGTTGTTGAGGAGCTGTCGGAAAGACAGGAGCCAATCCTGGGTCCAGGTGTTCCAGGTTTCCTTCTGCTGTGGGGGGAACCACCAGCAGACGCCGACGACGGGGGAGGACGGCGGCGGGTGTTTGTCTGTTGGGGTAGGGCGGTATTTGGCGATGTACATGGGAGCGTTGCAGTTGAGGCCGTGGAGGAAGTGGGCCGTTAGGGAGGCCGCGTTGCGATGGATGTTGAACTATGCAGTCTTTGTCAGTCTTTTTGTTTACCGTTTATGGTTCTGGGTGTAAATGTATACTTTGGATGGATCGTTAAAGACCCAGCGGAAGTATGGGTCATCGGCGAACGCCTTTTGGATGCAGATTACGGCATCGGGGATATCGTCTTTTGTGAGGGGAAGTATATCGATTGCCATTTTGCCTCTGTTATTCAATTTCTACTGGCTCTGCGGATGGGCTGCGACAAGGATATAGTGTATGTGTGGGAATGTCGGCGGAGGGGATAGAGAGAGATCGCCATCTAAGGTGAGGAATTGAAATATCAGATCTGGATCTGCGATCAATACGGTGCTGATGGTAAACTATCAATGTCAAGTACTGGAATTGTGCTATACTACTCGGCTGAGATGTGAAGCTTATATGCTTCAGCGGACAATGGTCACGAGGTATCCGTACAAGGCAGTTCCATGCGGTTCTTTTAGATGATCCTGTGCAGCGTGTACTTGGTACTGGTGTTACATTATTGGGGAGAGCGCGCAGCCCACCTGCAAAGCCAAGTCGGACAGCGTCGTCCATTGTCCTCCATAAGTGACGATCAGACGAATCATGGGGTGGAGAAGGATCATGATGCCGCCAACTGGGGCTCCCGAGCCCCGGCTGTGGAGGGCCAAGCCTCTAGGCGGAATCAGGCAGGTTCTTGCGGTAGCGCAGTATCATTGGTGATGATGTTGTAACTTGTGGATAGAATGAGGCTGTCAGCTGAGTGGCCTTGTATGTACAAATGCTATCCAACATAAGGTGAATGAATGGATCCTTTCTAGAATTCGATGCCCTCAGTTTGGGTAATTGCCCGGCTCCCGAATCATAACCACAAATGTGCCTTTGCCGTCTCCCCCATACAACGAGTAATCCATCACAAGATCCTCCATATCCCGCCACCCATACTTGCTATACAGCGGATACCCCTCCGGCGTGGCCTCCAGATAAATCCGGACATTCCTCTCGTCCGCCATCCGCGCTCCCCAGTCCAGCAAGGCCTTTCCCACCCCTTTCCCTTGATGCTGCGGATGCGTCACCAAAAGTTCTAGAACTACATGTATACTCCATCAGCCATCCGGTAGCTACAGATAAGTAGCTGAAAACTCACCGATATCATCCTCCTTGACGTATTTTCGCCTCGTCTCGTCCAGCGCTTTCATGGCTGCGTCGTAGACCGCTACATTCATCCCTGCGGGCCGCAGCTGCACATTCTGCGCCGCCATGGCCCTTGCTTCGTCTGAGAGAGACACCATCTCGTTCTCGCTCCGCCCTTTGATGTCCGGGATTACCCACCGTGCGCATCCCAGGATTTGATTCGAGGTGGGGTCCGTGGCTACTAGTAAATGCATCTTCGGGTCTGAGAGTTTGTCGAAGGTGCGGGAGAGTTTCACGGGCATGGCGGCTAGCGTGTCGATGTTCGGGAACATGTTGCGGTACATGGGGGCATCTTGGAAACAGATGATGTTCAACTCTGCGATTGCGGGCGCGTCGGCTTCTGTGGCGTAGCGGATGTTGGTCATTATTACGGTTGTCTACTCCGTATGTGGTAGGTATATGTTAAGGAGGAATTGAGATGTTTGTTAAGGAAAATTGACAAGTGGGATTCAGGCAACGGGATAAAGATTCGGCGTGGAACTAAATAGTGCATGGATAGTTGGTATTTTGTCCATAAACGGAGTCCGACTGGGATGCCGAGGCTGAGTCAGACAATCTGACTCATGGATGGTGATCTGTCTAGATTAGATTCAAGATTAGATGATGGAAAGATATATAGTCAATAATATGGTGGCATTTTTTATATTGTCTGTTAATCATTATCATAGCCTTAGTGTTTAGTCGTCTATTCCCCTTTTCTTGAATAGCTTCATCTAAGCGTGAGTTATGCCCACTTCCCCAACAGCCCCATCAACACCATCCCCGCAATCAGCGAGAGACCTCCAACAGCCACACTGCTCATCCTAGCATTCATCATCTCTCCGCCCTCCATCACCCAGTCCCGAGCCCACATGTCGACCAGCCCAACCCACACCAGAACCCCCGCCGAGAGCGCGTCCAACGTCCCCAGCGCCACAAGCGTGCTCTTATCGTTCCCATTAAACGAATGTAACACCCCCAGCCCGATCGCCATGCCCACCGGCGTGATCACCGCAAATGCAGCTGCCATCACCCCCTTAGACCCGATCAGCCGGCCTGGCAGCAGCGCGATCCGCGCTCCAAGCGCCAGCCCCTCGAAGAACTGATGGAACACAATAACCACCAGCAGTGTTTTGTAGAACGAGTCGCCCGCCACCACGAGGGTCAGCCCGATCAGGATGCTGTGGAAGATCACGCCCGCTTCCATGACGAGCACGGAGAGCTTGGTGTTGGGGTTTGTGGGGTCAAGGGGAGGCCCGTGGTGGTGGCCCAGGGCGGCGAGGGTCGGTTGCTGCGGTTGGACGGAGGGTGGTTCTTTGCCGGTTGGAGACGGGGATGCTTCGCAGGTCTGCTCGGGACAGGGTGACGCGGACCGCTTCCCGCGGGCGAGCATGATGCGATGCCCGATGTACTCGAAGAGGAAGGAGAGGAAGATGCCGGCCATGACGACGGCAGAAGTGGTCGCTTCGTATTCGAGTTCGCCGAGGCACTCGTTGGTGAACATGAGGTTGGCGTGCGTGTAGAGCTTTTCGGTTAGTTTCGTTCGGTCATCTGGTGGGCAGGTAGGCCTACATGCACGAATGCAGTGGAGAGGATAACGCCCGTTCCGAACTGCTTGATCACCGTTGAGACGACTCCGTTTACCTTGGCAGAGGGCAGCTTGACCAGGAGCATGGGCAGTAACACGCCGATGGAGCTGGTGACGAGCACGACGAACAGGGTCCCGATGCGCAGGGGGACGTCGTAGTCGCGGCTTCGGACTCCGCAGGATTTTTGGCTGCTTTTGCTTTCGGATTCTCCTGCACCCACGCAGTGTCTAGGTAGGTCAGTATTAGCACTGGGGATGCGAGCAGACGGAAGACGCACTCAACACCCGCGTGGAAGTGACAGTTCATGCCCTCCTTCGACCCCGAGTGTGATCCCCCACTCGAGCTAGATGAGGAAGCTGTCGTCGAACCCCCTTCTTCGATGATCTGGACGTCGTTTCCCTCGAGATCCATGCAGAATCTTCTACCGTTAGTCACGGTCAATCCATATACAGCCAAGTACTTACGTTTCTCCACCATGCGAATGGCATCCCGTGTACTGGGCTGGCAGCTCCCCCGTCGGCGTCGACGCCAGGACCACTTGCACCTCATGACCATCTCCGTCGATACAGAACACCTCGCTGCCGTGGCTGTGGCATCCCGTCACGGCGGAGGCGTGAGCAGAGGTGGTCGTGCTGGCGGCGGTGGTTGCCGGAACCGTCTTGGAAGCCGGGGTCGGCGTAGGAAACGGGGTTTCCTTCCCATCTGGGCCAAAGCAGTACTCGGTGCTGCCGTGGGTGTGGCAGCCCGTATAAGTCTGCGCGTGGACAAGGCCGAGAAGAGACAGGAGGAGGAGAGCTTTGGCCATGGTTGATTGTTTTGGGATTTGATCAGTCGGGTAGCTACATGTTGTGAGTTTTATATCTATCTAGGCAGCAATTCTAGGGCTATCAGAAATCCCTCGATGGATCATTCGATGAGGGATAAGCCACTGGCCGCGAAGAGTTTTCCTCTCGCCTTGAGCACACCACACTAACTCCCAAGGTATCTGGCCAAGGACAGATTCTGACTGCCAAGCTGGAAAACTCCGCATCCTCGACGAAATGCAGTATATTCTCCGGCAAAATGGATCGAAACTCGTGCTTGTTGCTCTCAAGGTCCTCGATCCAAGACTCTTGGCTCCGCCGGAATTCTTGGCGCGGGCTGGCTTCCTGCATCGATAGTAGGCATTGACCTCATGTTGCGTCGTTGAGAGATTCAGGTTGGTACATGCCTTCGGTATGATACGCATGACACATTGTAGAGGCATGGATGAGCGTTTCAAGGCTGCATAGGCAGATCACTGTATGCAAGTCAAATCATATACGAACAGATCATATTCATGGTTGACAGAAGCTCAGAACATCATAGCTTATTGAGACAGACCGAGTCGAGAGACAGCTTGGTCACTACCAAGGTGCCCTTGGCGTCTTGTGGAACCAACTAGAATACGAAAAGAGACCATGCATCTCGATGGCTTGACCTACGTCGGGGTGGCCGGTGGCGTGTATATCCTGATGACCACTCCAACAATGAGATAATGAGTACCTCGCTACCACAAGGAATTCATCCCCGAGGTATATAAGGATGCCCTACCTCTGGCAAGAAAGCAAACTCACGCACCATCCATCTTTAATATACTCAAAATGGCTGCTCTCCTCCGCCTTGCCCTTCTCCTCCCCCTCGTCGCTGCCCTTCCTACCTCCCCCTCTCCCATCGCGGCGCGAGCGAACCCCCACGAACCAGTCTTCTTCTCCTGGGACGCTGGCGCAGTTACCTCCTACCCCATCCACTCCAGCTGTAATGCCACCCAGCGCAGGCAGATCGAGGCCGGCCTCGACGAGGCGATTGAGCTCGCCCGCCACGCAAAGGCCCATATCCTCCGCTGGGGCAACGAGAGCGAGATCTACCGGAAGTACTTTGGCAACCGGCCCACCATGGAGGCTATCGGCGCCTACGATGTCATCGTGAACGGCGACAAGGCGAACGTCCTCTTCCGGTGTGATAATCCCGACGGCAACTGTAATTTGGAAGGTAGCCCCCCCCCTTCCCACCCCCGCAACTAACATCCTCTCCCTTGACATGCAGCTAATCAAACAGGCTGGGGTGGCCACTGGCGCGGCCAAAACGCCACCCACGAAACCGTCATCTGCGACCGGAGCTACACCACCCGCCGCTCGCTGCTCACCATGTGCTCTCAAGGCTACACCATCGCCGGCTCCGAGACCAACACCTTCTGGGCCGCGGATCTGATGCATCGTCTGTACCATGTGCCTGACGTCGGACAGGGCCGCATCGAGCACTTTGCCGACGGCTACGACGAGGTGATTGCCCTAGCCAAGGGGAATGGGACGGAATCCACGCATGACTCAGAGGCGTTGCAATATTTTGCGCTTGAGGCGTATGCGTTTGATATTGCGGTGCCTGGTGTCGGATGTGCTGGTGAGAGTCACGGCCATGACCATGGACATGAGACTGGGTCTGCGTCTGCTGCGTCTGGATCCGCGGCCACTGCTACCCCGACGCAAACTCCCAGTGCGACTGCTGATGTGCCGCCGGTAAGTGCATTGCTAATCTGGCAGAGGATGACTGACTAACGTTGGTAGAACTGCCATACCCATGAAGGTGGACAACTTCATTGCACTTAGGCGAGGACATGCTTGATGACCGTATGCTTGACGCCGTATTTTTGACGACCGTATACGCCTGGCTAGGATCCTGAGTAATTGCGGGATTAATGTCTATTGTTTAAAAAAGTGTCGTGACACATTTGCTTTGGCTTGACACACCATGTGTAGACCCAATATAGACGTTCTTTATATCCATCAAGAGGTGAATATCATCATCTAAGCAGACACAATCTGAGATCTGCCCTTCATGGACGAACGCCATCGGCGACATGTACAGTCCGGGAAGTCCTCCGGTACCCCAGTCGGCTCAGCAGCGCTCCACGCATCCTTGTCCTCTACCTTGGGTATTTCCCGAAGTAGAGCATCCATCCTGAGGTACGGATGAACATGTTACTTACCTGTGCAAATCCCTCCTCACGATACCGAAGGGGTCTTCGCCAGCGGACAATGAGTGCATCAATATGCTCACTAGTGTTGCCATCTGCAAAATCGTATGTCTTTGCACCGCGGGCATGGGCTCAGATGCTAACTCTTCGGCTGTTTTCCCGACGCCATTCTGGTCCTCATCGCACGAACGAGTCGGTCGATGCGTGTACCAAGATTTGTTTCCCCATTGCAGCMCAATGAAATTGATACCTAGTCTCCGGAAATCAACTCTACCATATGTGTGCATTGACGCTGCCCCTGAAGAAGTGATCGGGAGGTAGCGCACAACCTCTCCGATTTGTCGTGTTCAATAACTTAGACGCGTAGAAAACGGTTCTCTGGCACGGATATCGCCAGTATGTCATCCTTTTTTCGAGGAGTGCGCAAATATATGTGGTAGTGATTGAACGAACGCCATGCAGCCAATTTCTCTTGCTGGAAGGTCATGTCGCACTATTCCGAGCACTCGGCCATAGTTGAGACGTTGAGTCGGATCGAGTGAGAGACGGTGGCTACGCGTAGAGAGCTGAGGATCTTAGCGCGTTTGGGGTGCGAGTATGAGGATGAAGAGGTTTGTACAAAGATGGTCTCCTACTACACAGTACTGGTTTGTATATATATTTACGGAGTAGATGCAGTTATATATTTCTGGATGGCTACCTCTACAGTGTGTCGACAGTGAATCCATCATTGAGTGGAGATATATTCCGAGGAACACCAAGTCCATTCAAGTCCATTTGCAATGGACTCGACTATCGCCTTCTGTAAAGATCATCTACCTTACATATATATCTGGTGGCCATATGGTTGTAACTGATGTTGATGGCCATAATGACCAGTAGAAGCTATATTGGGCACATAGCCAAGGTATGTACGTCTGTATCGCACAATAATACACTGTAACAACCCACTACCCTCCATGCAATGCACTCCGTAGCCCCCGTACACCGGTATAAACGATTGAATCTCTCTAACTGAATTGATCATATCCAGAACAAGTCCAGCAATAGGGAAACCTCAGCCTAGCCTCCTAGCCAGGACATCTCAGTGCCAGGTAACGTCCATTCTCAATGTCGTCCGGTCGACGTCAACAGCTCTCTTAACACGCAGGAAATGAGATATTACATGTTTCCCTGGAAACACACATTGCGAGAGTATTTTAAGCAAACAATGCAGCCAAAGAACGCGACAGTTGGGAGATTCCCCGGTCGCGCAGCGAGGAACAGGACAATGGCGTTGGAATGTCTTGTGGAATGGGTGATCGCAGGTATCGCTACGTGCTGGGTAGTATCAAGGGGTCTTGGCTGGAGGACAGTGTCCCCTTTCAGCGTCGGGCGCGATAATCAATAATTGGTGGGAAAGTCGTACCTGATACCCCTTGATTGCATGGGAGGTGATGCAAGCGCTGTTTCTCATCCGTGGACAGATTGACTGATTTGGACTTGGTCTTGAGAATATATGGTTGACTGATGGCTGCTACTACTTCATCTGTACGATTGGGTTTACGATGTCGTGAGGATTCTAAGCACGACTATGTATGATAACTGTTAGATGATAGGAACGTGGAGAGTGGCAGTAAGTTGCCCAAAAACGCAGCTATAAACTGGAGCATAGGACTTTTTACACGCCTGTGATACTCAGTATCCACATCTCTGTAGGTAGCTGATCAGATATAAGGCTGGTGTCCAAGTTCTACTATAATGATCCAGAGTAACCATCTACAGTAGATAGATCAGCATATGCACCTAATACTTGTTACTCAAGTCGTTACTCCGTGCAGACGAGTATGCTGTTGGTATCTGCCGTACTCCATAGATCCCTATTCTTGAGTAGAAACATATAGAACGATTAACTGTTATAGAGATGGAACTTCTTCTCGCAGTTTGAAGAGATTTGCATACTCTAGTAACTAGAATCATCACTTTACGAGTCGATTATACGTGGATATCGGTATCTTGCAGCTCTTGGTAGGGTTTCTCTATATCTCGATCGGTGTGCGATATATATATATACACCGTGATTGTTGGGAGTAGCTTAGCCTCAACACATAGACACAGAAGTGGCAAATACCCCTGTCTAGGCTACAACGTTATTGCATGATATTCAGGGAGATTTGCAGAGCAATCCAATAGTGCATTTAGTTTCGTGATACTCATAGTTTGATACTACAGAACAATCCATCTGTAAAACGGATGCTTATCACCATTGATCATTCCTGCAGCAAGTCAATGACAAACTTTGTGAAAGCTTCGACAATCCCTCAATCAATTAGTCCAGTACTTTGTAGAGAAGGTTTGAACCGAACAACTGAAAAATTGAAAACCTTGCGGGGGACCTGAAAGTGTAATAGTTCAGGGGCACCACACCACGTTCACACTATCATCACTAGTCGATTCATGGAGACGTACTACGGGAGACGTCAACACTTAACTCTAAACGAGGCCCTAGTCCAATTTGCAGTCCAGACTCGGTCTCTGTCTCCTTTTCTTAGGCTATTCTACCATGCAGTTCAATCAAAGCTAGTCCTGAAGAGCGACACTAAACTTTAGCACCGTCTTGGCAACATGGTGGCACCCTTTTCTTTTGCATCTGTCGCATGCTTCCCATACACTTATCACCAGGGCAATCAACCGGAGACGTTGGCCAGAGATGTAGTCCAGGGGAACAGAAGGAATGCCTCCACAATCCGAAAACCTAGTATCAGAAACACAGAACCTGCTCGTAGCCGAAGTGATTGAACAAACTTTGTCCTGATTCTCTCTGCACGTTCCCCAAGCCTTTTAGTTCCGTTCCTGATAGGTCATATTGTCTCGACTGGTTGAGAAGCGACCTGGGGGGTGTGCACACATGGGGGAAGCCGCAGCGCATGACCCCCTTCCCTGCCCCGAAACATTTGTCTTGGACTCTTGGAAACCTTCAAAAGAGGGGGTTAGAAAAGAACTCTATATTATTTTGCTTTCCCGATCAGACGTCGCATCTTTATTTATGTGCGTTGTCAATTGAGATTGTCTCTATTTCCTGGCAACATTGATCTACCCTCTGGCGCATCGCTGCCGAAGGAGGTTTCGAAGCTATTACTTCTCTGTCCGCGTCGCCCCTTCACTCGCAGCTTTTACCTTGTATATTTTTTTTTCGCAACACATATTCTTCGCCATGAGTCCCTCGTTGCAATTGGACACTTACTCTCAGAAGGATGAGAAACTTCCCTCATGCTCCTCCAAGACTCTAGTCGCTGCCCCGCCCGTGGAATCGCCCAAGTCTCCGGAAGACTATGACCCTTGTGTCAATGCAAAGCCATACTCCCCCTTTTATCGACATGCGACAACCTCGTTCGCCTTAGAACAGTCAAGATCTCAAACGAAGAAACCGAACTGCAGTGTGGATGCAATGCATGACTTGGAAAGTGCACCATCGCAAACACCTTACAAGCAATCAATGGACGTACCGGGCTGCCGCACCTCGAAGCTGTGGACGAAGAAGCGGAAACGTTGCGGTTGCATGCAGTCCTTGACGAGGAAGCAGAGGGTGGCAGTCAAGGCCGCCATCGCCGTTGTCACGCTGGGGAGCATGGTGGCTATTGCCTTGGGAATCACCGTCGCTGTGGGCGGAGGAGTGTGGAAATCCGATCACCAACAAGGGGCCATCATTGCATAGCAGTAAGTGCATTATAGTAAGCCATGGACATTGCTCTTGTATCCGGCCACTGACTCATTAGTTTTGACAGGTAAAGCATTAGAATCGTACACCGTGCTAGACGTCTACTTATACGGACTCGAGCTCCGTTCTCCGATGCCGACTACGCTGGACGTCACGCGCGCATCTGCTCGAGTCCACTATTCCACAAAGTCACATCGGGTTGACGATGGCAGAACCCATTACCATCTCCAGGAAACACCCGGTCGGAAGCTGCAGCAGGCTGTCCAGGGAACGTCAAAGGGACTGCCGGTGTCGGCATTGGGGCGTTAGACCGTTCACCCTCCCGCGCAGAGGATCGATTGTACAGAAGGATCCGTTTCTTTTCTTGGGTGTTTCTATTTCTGGGGGATACAGGTTGTGTAAATTAATTTGGATCAAAGTATGACAAGAATCGACGATAGGATCTCTACGCAATCTTTCAGAAGCTGGATTGAAGTTTTCACTACTGATTATCCCACCGGAGATGTGCCTTGGCAGCCTTGTTGCCTGGCAGCGGAAGAACGGTCGGCCCCTGGCACGTGACCCACAACCACCTACAAAAATCGCCCATTCCGCGCGGATCTCTTTGCTCTCTTTCTTTTTCCTTTTTTTTCCTCACATCGAAAAGCTTTAACAGAACCTGCCACGACCATCGTCCAGTTTTTCTATCCCACGGCGGTGTGTTGCCTTCGATCTTTCGATCGTTCGGTTCTGAAGAACAATGCTTTCCTTGATAGGAAGTTTGCCTTCCGTTGGGTCCTCTTAAGTGAGGGCGATGGAGGGTGAATGTCGATGACGGGACACATCTCTTTTCTTACTTCAAAACAGATTTTATACCAATATAGAATGAATTACATTGATTTTTGGAATATCTGAGTATTCCTTTCCCTTGCCTTATATAAGTTCGTAATCTTGGCGGGAAATCGTGCGTGTTCCTCGCCTTGCATGTTTCAAGCGGTGCTGCAGTTAGCGATCGATGGTGTGATGTCTTTTGTCTCGAGTTCAGGACCTGCCACAACGCCAACATCGTTGTTATTGTGCTGAGCCGGAAATTTGTTACGACTATCATTCGGTCAGTGGCTCCTCTTGCCAGACCAAAGTCTCAATGGATCGTGTTAAATTACGCAGGGATAACTTCCGGTATGCCCTGCAAGGGGTGACCAAGCTGCCCTTGAGATGAGATCCTGAGCGGAGTGCGTACCCGGTACTGATACAGATCCTGGACCTTCTCGTGTTGATGTTGCTCTCAGGAATGCCAGAACTGCTTTTCGGAGCGTTCTGTTCGATGGGACGAAGCCACAGTGCCAACGGCCACCACCACCTGATGGACCGTGTGGTTCATTCCTGGCGACATTCTCCTGACGCCCAAACAAGGTCGGGTCCTTGTTGTTTGTTTAGCTCACCAGGGGATGATCTACATGCCTCGAGTCGAAACAAGTAGGAAAGAGACTCATAAAAGGCATGAACCTTGCCGATGGAAGTAAGTGCTTTATATCAAACTTCCAACGACTGGCACAGGTAACCGGCAATTCGTTCCTTTTCATTTTACTTCTTCGTTTGTCTTTGTACCCTTCCGTTGGGCTTCTAGTCCAGATTCACTCGTTAATCTGTTTAATCCTCGATAAGGAGAGATCATGAAGGGATTGGTCGGAGGAATCCCTCTTGCCCTCCTCGTCGCCGCCGTCGCCAACGGCCATGGCGAGGCGGCACAGGACGAGGGCCCCGTAACTCTTATCGGTGGCACCAGTGGTACGGACGGCGGGAATAGTGCTGCCATTGAGTTCGACAGCAGCTACAGTTCCGGTGTCAAGGACACCTACAAAGACGACCACTCCGCTGGTGTGAAGAACACTGTGGTCGTCCCCGGTGCCCATCAACCTCCAGTGCCTCGTTTCCGCAAGAGAGATGACGGGGATACCACCTTCTTTGGTGGTATATCAGGGAATGATGGAGGTAACGACGCCGAAATCGATTTCGACAGTGTGTATTCTTCAGTTGTGGAGGATTGGATCAAGGATGATCACTCAGT